GAACAGTTGAGCACTGGGTCTCAGTGGTATCTTGTTAAGCCATGGCAATTTCACCCTTTGTGTTTGTCTGTCGATAACTTGTAGTTCAGCATCCTGCAAACACAAGTGTTACACTATCACTGCTGTAAAAAGGGGCAGACACAAATATTTCAAAAGCTGAGAGGTCTTCTGTGATGCTGAAAGCATCTCATACATCACACTCAGGGATGGCCAACCTAGTCCTTCATTGCCTGACTTCTTCATAAAGGAAAAACAGAAACAACTGCAGTTTATGGACCTCGGACCAAAGGAAAGGAGGGACGGTGGGGTGTGCATGCATGCGTGTCCATGGGTGGAGATGCTGATACATATCCAGAGACATATTTCCATGCTCTCTTTTCTGTTTTTCAACAGTCCCTTGTGCCAAGGACTGAAGAAATGTTTTCTTTATTTTCTTTTCTTTTCCCACATTTCCACTTTACAGTCTCTTACAAGCTAAAATCAGATAGGTGAGGACATGGAATTTATGGGGTTATGCTTGTACAAGCAGAGTGTTCTCCCTTCCTATTCACCTCCAAGGTTCCAAGGAGAATCAGCCTGTAGAATGGAAAAGTAAGAAGATAATTATTTTTGGAGAGGAGCACTAAGAAGGAAGGAGAGGTAGTTGTTTTCTCTTTTATCCTAAAAATCTTGCCTTAGAACATTTCTCTGTTGACACTCCATGTGCATGCATGACCCTGAACAACAGAGTTGGAGGGACAGATATGGCAAGGGAAATTCAGAAGAGAGAGAAGACTTTGCCAAAAGGAAATCTAAAAAGAACAAGGATTGAAAAAGCAGCCAGGGGTAACTCTGATGTACAAAAATACATTTATTTTCAACAATTTCAAAACCACTGCCTTTTTTTACAGTAGAAATATTCAAATGGAACAATAAAACCAAGAACAGTATATATATATGTATATATATGACTCATGCAGTTGTATTATTGTGTTCAATACAGGTATTGCAATTGTCTGTCTCATTTAATCCTATGAAACCACGGTGGTGGTTTGGGTTTAATGCACTGTCCAACATCATCAGAAAGAATGTGAGGATTCTGGTTTGGTTCATTAGACCTGGAATGTGTGTGGGAGCTGATTGAAGGGAAAGGAAGGAGAACAGGACATCAGGACATCTTTGTACATCTGTGAAACCAAAGTTTCACAGAAGAAAATGCACACTTCTGACACATGCTCTCATTGATGGCATCTGTGTCTGAAACATTCTGTAGCCCCCTGTCACTCTGGTCTCACCTCTGATCCGTCCAGATTTACTATTAGGGTTCTTGAGTACCAGTTAAACTAAACAAAGGGTCTCTTCATGGTTTACATCAGACTGTCAGCCACACAGAGCCAGAAGCTGCATCTAGTCTCCAGATCTCATGCATTATTCCTAAATTACAGCTAATCCATCATGGGGGAAAGGCTGGCAGTGATAGAGGGCACTGACCCCAGACTCTTGCTCTCTGTCTCTCTCTCTTTCATTTCCTCTTTTTACATACTTACAGTGTGGGAGCTATTTATGTTCCATTGATGCCATTGCCTATTTCCCTCATTACTCAGGTAAATAATAATCTACAGCTTCAAGAATTTCCATTACATTTTCCTCAGGGGTAAAACTTGCAGGAGGAAAAAATCTGAATTATAACAACCCCAAGTTGTTACTTCCCAGCAAGACTAACAGAAGTGGCCAATACTCCAGTCTGTGCTAACACTACAGCTCAGTACATTCAAAAAAGGTGAACAGGGCTGGCTGCCCAATCCAAACCTTACAGAGGTCCCACGGATAGACAGGAATGCATTAATTACCCTTCTTGCATTCTAAAGGAGCCGATTTCAGTCATGAACCCAAGCTTTTTGCAGCTGCCATCAGCCATGACTGTGCCCTGAAGAAGCAGGAATGACCTGGCAAATGTGGTCCCATGCACACCTAGGGGATGTGCCTGGAGCAAGTGACAAACCACGCAGAGAGGCAGTGACACCCACCAAGTCTTTTGGAGGAGGAAGTTTGAGCAAACATAAGAATCAGTCAGGTTTTTCTGGCATGCAGTTTTGGCTTAATGGATTTTTCTTGTTTGCTTTGTAGGATACTTTAGGATCATTTTGGATGGAAAATGACATTCTAGACAGCTGTTTCTCCAAAAGTGTCATTCAGAAATTTCTCAGCCTTCACTGAGATAAAATTTCTTTTTGAGAAGTGATTTTTTTCCATTTATTTTCAACAACTTACTCCCAATTTTTCCTTCTTACTTTCTCCCATTTGAGACATTTAACAGCAATTTTAAAAAGTCTAAAGGAATAGATTGTAAAAAAAAAAATGTGAAAAGAAATTAAGAAAAAAAATCGTGAAAACTGCAGTCCTCTGCCTTTCTTGTTAAAACAACAAGATCAAGCCCGTGAAAAACATATAAAGTTCCAAACAACAATGAAAATTTTCACTTTGCCCATTGGTTAATAAAGGAAAAAGTTAAATACAGAAAATACTGAGTATTTTACATTCAGTCCTCTGCAGCAGCTCACCATGGCAGTACCTCAAATCCTAATGATCAGCAAAGACTGAGATCAGCCCATAGTTTAGCTCAAAGCCCATGGGACCATTGTTTATGCACATCCCTCCCACCTATACCTAAATGGGAAGCGATGGCCTTGTGCTAACAGTCTTCTCACCAGCATGGGCCATTCCTGTAAACTACTGTGGTGTTTCAGTAGAATGGAGAGAGTAATGCAACAGTTTATGCACTTGTGATGGATGGAAACCAAGGTTAAATAGAATAACATATCCATTGCTCTTCACCTTGTGTTAGAAACCAGAGCAGAAAAGCGAGTGGGAAAACAGAAGAGAAATATTTTTAAATCAACAGAAAAAAAAAATCCACAAACCTTACTGAAAAGGAGGAGAACTGAGAATATTTAGTTTTAGTACTTCTCAAGAAACCGTTTTTTCCTTATTTTTTGGGTCTACAATTTACATCTTGAAACATCACCTAAGTTCTGCAAAATTGTGTTTAATGGCTTTTCTCACCACCTGCAGAGCCATCAGGATTTTAACTTTTGAATGATATTCCAGCCCTCTAATAGAAGGGGCAGGTGCAGCTGAGGCTGGTTTGTAGCCCACTGGGCTGTTGCAATGCAGAGAGATAGCAAGTAACACCTAAATTCCTGTCATCTCCTCATTTCAGCCCAGGTACGTTAAAGGTGATTGAGGTCCTGTATCCAGACCCTAAGAAATGATAACAAACATTGTCATCTTCTGTCATTTCTGCCTCCTGTTACCACACAAACACTAGAACATCTTCCCAGACATGCCCCAATCTACCTTCCCCTCCTGCTGGGTCCTACAAGTCAATACTCTGCAGAATAAGGTTCATTTTTGAATGAACTTTGATCATCATCAACTCAAGAAAAATGGATAAAAAGTAACTCACCACTAAGTCAACCTCTTGCCCCAAAACTCCACCTCTTCGTAGGGATATCCTCAATTCAGTGTGGTAAAAAAATTCTAAAGAGCTTTTTCAATACCTTTCCTTCATTAACCTCCCTATTCTAACCAGAAAACACCAACCCACCATGCAGAAATCTCCACTCTGAACTGGAAGCTGCCATTCTGCAGCACCCACAGAACCTCTGGTAGCTCATTAATGTAGGTCTGACCCTTCACTGCCTTCTCCAAAGAGCAGTCCCTAATCACATATACCATGGTCAGCCAAAATTTACTACTCTTACATAACATAAATAGCACTTCACTGCAGCAGCTTAACTGCAAAAAGCATGATTTCCCCCTGGGAATAAAGAAACTGCAACCTGCCCCACTGTTGAGCTGAGGTTGCATTGGCTATGGCAAGGCTAATATTTGCCCACACAGAGATGGTGATAATTTCAGGATTCTTTTCCTCATTTTCACTAACAGATGCCACCAAGATCATTCTCAGAAGTGGGCAACAGTGACATAGATGAATAGATGATAAACACCATTAAAATATTCATGACAGGCTCATAGTCTGGCCTGCTAATATCTTTTTCTGCTCCATCACAAGAAATGACACCATATATATATATGTGTGTGTAAAAAAAGGCTTGTAGTTATACATAGAGAAATAAATTACTCTCTTTATAGAGAGCAGTGTCAGATTGAAATATGACAGACAACTGGAACACACTTGTAACCAAAGTGTGACTCAAGTGCTCACCAGGGTTCCTGCTTGGCTGGCGTGTACGTGTGTGTGTGTGTGTGTGTGTGTGTGTGTGGTTCAGGTTCTCTTTTAAACATATCTTCTTTTACTAAACATTAAATTATTTCCCAAGAAATAAAAAGCTATGTACAATGTAATTATCTACAGTAGGCCTTCGGCATCCTCGCTATTCACATGCACAGGGTTTGGGCTGCATTCATAAACTCAGGCTTGCTCCTCCACTGCTTGTGGTCCTGTCCCCTCCAGCCAGTCTGCAGTCCAAGGAACACTGACGTCTGTGTTTGCTCTCTTTTTTTTTTTTCCCCCCTTTCTCAGCAGTCAACAGTGCCAGAGGGTGACTGAAATTAAAAGCAATTAAAAGAGGCAAGATCCTGCAAAAAGCTGAGACATGCATGTCACTGGAAAGCAAGGGATGTTGGCATGTTGCAGAGCCTGGTCCAACAACCCAGTCTGAACCCTCTGGCAGGATGAAGCAGCTGATTCATGACTTATTCTGAAAAGGGCTGAAAAGGGACAATTTATTTACAACATATTGCCTAAGGTACAACACCTATCTGTTGTATTTGAATACTTAATTCCCATTCTGTATTTAACAGGAAGCTGGCATTCAAATCTCATTGCACACTTGACTCGTTCTTTGCTTTTTATTTCTAATCTGATGTGTATTCCCTAAATATGAAAAACCTCTGCTATTTATGAATGCAGCCCTGGCAAACACAAAAAGCCCACCCCATTCCCTCCCAAATAATAATAATGACATATAACTCTTTCTTTTTTCATAATAATAATAATTATAACAATAATAATTACAAATAAAAAGTCAGAAACGCTGTAGATCAAGTGGATTCTCAGTATTAAACACTAGTGCAGTTGGGGATTTCCTTTGTGCTTTCACTGTTGGCAATTGTTGAGATGCTTCCTGTGGAGGAGAAAATGGAGAAGAGAATCAGTGCAGTGGCTTCAAAGCTTGGTCTATATTGCTTCTCACTCCTCTTTAGGATGTGGTAGTGTAAGTGCAAAGCCAGAAAAGATGCTTAAAAGTAACACATTCTTTTATGTGTTTGCAATAAGCAGGGAGCATGCAGAAAACTCAATTACTATGGCTCAGCTGACCAGCAGTGAACTCATTAAGCTCTTAGGGACATATTTGCTTGTAATTATAGCACACCAACAGTGTGAGCCTGGCTCAGCTGATTCTTCTGAGGGTGCAGAGAATTTGGCATCCTCCACAGGAGAGGCAGGGTCATGAGCAGGAATAGGTGTGAGCCACAGTTATTACTAACTTCTTTATACCTACTGCTGGTGCCAGGTTCCTACCCTGAGAAAAGCTGAAAAGGTGTAAGAGAAACTCCATTACCCTGCTGCTGAGAGAGATTTACTCCCTGTCTCAGTGCCTCAGGACTCTACTTGTACCTGGGGTCACAGACACTGCCTCTCCTGATACCCAAAACACCAACACCCTCCCAGACTGTGAAACAAAACTCAGCTGAGGGCTGTCTCTCACCCATCACTCGTGTGTCCAGCTCTTTGTCCATCAGCTCCTCAGGGTCTGTGAACTCACTCAGGGTGATTTTGGGGGCATTTTCACTTTGGCTGACAGAGCCAATCATTTCCTGCTCCTTATCATGCTGAACTTGGGCATAGATGTTAATCCAAGGGATTTTCCTGCATAGAAAAGGAAAATAAGAGGTTATGCTTTGTAACACAGGGATCCTCAGCATGTCATTTATTAATGAGACAAACTAAGCTGAGATCAATCCTAAAAATGCAGCACTGGCTGTGATGCAAAGTACCACGTAGATACTCATCTCTGAAAGTGCTCTTAGCATCCACTAATTCCAACAACAACCTAAAGGTGCTCCAAATCTCAGGCCATTGTCTTCATATCATGTGCACAAAGGCTCCCTCAGCTGCAAACTTCAATGTTCTGCCCTTTTAAATGAGAAATCATGCACACAGTGGACACTGCACTCAGCTCAGAAAGCAGCAATCAGCTAAGTACAATCAGCTACAATTGTCAACTCTCTCAGTATTTATTATATGATTAGTGTTGCATTGGAAACCAAAAGTAAAAATCAATTTGGCACTAGCATCAACTGAGAAAAAAATTGCTGGGCTTGTTGCTGCTGACAGGCCCACACTGACTCAGAAGAAATTGTCACATCTGAAAGAGTTATAAAGAATTGTTCCTGCCTCAGAGTCAGAAAGGATTTGGACCTCAAAAGACACATCCAAAGTCTATTTGTTACCATTCCATTGCAAAAACCAGTTTGTCATGCTATGGATCAAGTTTGCAGGGACTTATTTTTCTTTGCTGCTCAGGAAGGCAAGGAAATGAAGGGATTATTTCTTCTTCCTTCTCCCAAGCAAAGTTACCTTGACCTGCTAGAATGATCTTTGAGAGTCAGCTAGGTAGACAGATTATACAGGCCTAGACAGACAGGCAGTAATCCCTGCAGGAATGCAAGATTAAAATGAGACACCTGAAAAGGAATGTGTAAAGTATCATGGGGGTTGCCAGGATTATCTGCATTGCCTGTTGGAAGTGTGCCTGTTGGAGCACACTGCTCCAATAAAGAAAATTTGGAGAATATTTTGAGTTCCTTAAAGCACACAGGAGTGAGAGAGAAAGAAGTAATATAAAATGCCATATCTTTATGCTGATCTCTCTGCTGTTGGATATGTCAGAGACTGAAAGAGGTGGAAATTGCCGCAGCTCTCATGAATTCAATAGATCTATGCTGATTTTACTCCAGTGAAGTTCTGGCCTCAACCAACTTGTGCTATTGGCTTGATTTGGCATTCTGTTCTTAACCAGCATCAAGCCAGGACATATTTGGGATGTTCAGCAGCAGCCAAAGCCAACAGATCTCATGATCTTCTCCCTTTCTCCTACCTTCTAATGTTTAAATATACCTTAAATGCCACCAGAAGATACAGGAACTACACAGCAAGTGAGTGAGAACTAATGCACTCCCATAGGATCTAAGTGTCCAGAATTTGTCTGGAGATGTATAGAGACACGAGAACATGCATGGAGATAGTGGAAGACAGTTCTACTTCCAAAGAATGCAATGGCAGAGCAGTGATAATCTCTGAACTTCGAGTGGAAAGGTGAGAAAAGCACGCTAGAATTGTGAGGCAGAGAGCCAAGGTACTTCAAAGAGTTAGGGAAAAAAGAAACTGAGATGGCTGTATATGTGTGAATGCATGCCCAAATACCTGATCGTGCTGTGCCTCCCAGCACAGACACAGGTGGCCACAAGCACACAGTTCTGCACTGCTGTCCCAGGACACACACATGGACTGCCCCACAGCCCCACCACTGCTCAGCACTCATACACACACACTGTTGACTGATATATCTCAATCTTCCAAAGAAGAAACCGCTGTTTTTAAGATTATTTCTGTACTTTTCCCCTCTTCCTTCCTTTTCCACTGGGACCTCCTCAATAAGCATCTCTCTGGCAGCAGTGTTTAACATGCCTGCTGAGTCTATAAATTGACGGACTCCTAATAAAGTGTCTGCTGGTTCTGCAAACCAGCAAAGCATCAAATCTATGAATCTGTAGCATTAAAAAATCTTGTCAGTCTATGCTTTCCCCTAACCTTTCCCTGTAAGCAGAAGTTCTGTATTCAGGCTGGGACCACCATTAATCAAAGAAGTACACGTGGCTGATGGACCTCTGCATCACTGAGAGCTGCAGGAAAGCTTTTGGGTTTGCTCCCCTTTCCCTATTAAGAATCATTACATACTCTCACTTCTGCTCCACTGAGCCAGGGGTTTTAGACAGAGCTGAAAAGTTGCTTTCTGTTCTGAAGAATCAGGTTGAGAACACTCTGTGTATATGACTTATCCTAAACTTTGTCATTTTGATCTGGGTTTTCCCCCTTTGGGACAGAGGGATAAGAGGGGACAGCCAGTTAATAAGCTTTTGGACTAAGGAAAACTGATGCTTTAACCACCTTCCTCCTCACTCCCAATTTGTAATACAATCAACTTTCAGACAGATTTTAACAAGGCAGGGTCTCCACAGCCCTAGAGCACAATAGAAGGCTGATGGCTGCTATACTCAAATCTCAGGGTGCTTCAGTAGTACAAGAGTCAGTTTTATGAGCTGTAGTAGCAGAACATGACCCAGAGAGTGCCAAAGCAAAGTGCATTAACAAGCTCCTCACTGTTCTTTGGCAGCTGGAATATAAAGACCCTTTTTCCTGCTAACTGCTGACCACAGAGCCAAGGACCTCAGGCCAAACCCAGGAAAGCATCTCACCAAGATACAAGGAAAAGCCTGTCTTATGCATGGTTGTACCTACATCTTGTCACATCTCCCAGGAAGAATTCTTTGCCTTCCTCATCCTACATCTGGGTGTGAGAGTAATCATCAGCTGCCTCCCCAGCACACTGTTAAATCCATGCCTTAAACAAATCCCGTTCCCCTTACAAGGGAAGCTGCATTCCACCTCACAGAAGCAGAGAGAGGATTTCAGGCTGCAAAAGGAGGTCATGCTGAAGGCCTTGAAATCTGTATCTGAGTAGAGCCATACCAATGCTTTCCCTGGAAATTGTCCTGGGCTACTGAATTTAGTGAGAGCTTGATAACAGCAGAGTGCACAGGACCAAGCTCAAGTGACACTCACTGGTTAGGACAATGGTTAATGAAAGATGGTAGCAAGGAGGAAAAATTTAAACCTGGAGATTAGGCCTGTCTTATACTATCATTTAATTCTGAATATTGTTTGGATCCCACTAACATCCTTGAAGAATACTAGCCTTATCCTGGGGGGAAGAAAAGCTTGAGAAAGCAACATTTAGCTGGAATCTGGACAGGAAAAGCTCTAGTTTTTCATTTAGAGGAACTACTATGCCCAGAACGTTTTCTTTATTTAAAGTCAGACTCAGCTTATGTTTCTAACACAGTATTTTGCCATAGGTCAGGATCTAGGGACACAGACCATTTTATAGTGTAAGTACTGTACTGAATGCAAAGTTCCTCCTAAGGAGCTCCATCTGCCTAAAACATATCCTTATAAAGTAGACCTTCAGCAAACAAGCCATTCTTATCACATATTTTGTTTCACAGCTTGCAGCAGCCAAGTGCTATGGGCCAGACCTGGTCCTGCCTGCTGTTTGGAAGCAAAAGGTTTATTTTAACATCTGTCAAATTAAATCTCAGCACATATTCCCAAAGGCATTTTGATGCTTTACACAATTTTTTCTGGCTTTAAGTCTCCTACCCTTAACATAAACACACCTGTTCCTCTGCAAGATTAACCTATTCACTTTGCAAGATATAAATGAGATGCTGATGCACTAAGGCAGCTGGGTATAGACTGTGTGAAGTCATCCATCATGTGGTTTTTGACTAAGCTTGCTTTGTGCATCTCAGTACTCAGTGAGCACAAAGGTTCCCATTTCTGGTCTGTGCTTTAAATACATCTGCTGAAGCAGAAGATGATTTCTGAGCTCTTGGTGAAGTTTTGGAGCACCAACTTTGTGGTGAAACAGCAGTAGATGAATTTCTCTCTAAGTATCAGAAGTAGGGAACTATGCTCATATAGGCCAGCATAGTTCACTCTACATTTGCAATTCAGGCACAGCTCGGCCAAGGTTTCCTGTAAACCACCCAGAGTCTCTTCTTCCCATCCCAAAGTTTTTCAACTTACCTCTTGAATTTGTAGATTAAAAAAACAGCCAAGCCCACAAACACCACCGACAACAACATCAGCATTGCTGAACTGCTGTGACCCGAGCTGGAATCCACAAGGGGTGCTGCAGGAGGAAAGACAAAGCATTACATTTGTGGGATATTACACGGAAACACATTAACTACCGAGAGCTGAACTCAACTCTGTCACATTTATCACTACTGCATGGCACATGCTGGTTTTGGCAAGACCAATCAGTAGGAAACAAATTGGTTCCCTTGTCCTTCAAAAGTCAAGGCCCTTTTTCAAGACAGTGCAGTCTAACACCCCTGAGTGAAAAGGCACAGCAAGCCACGCTTAGCTGAATGCCCAATCACTCCTGTATTAACACTCTGGGCTATTACTTTTCAGGTTTTTCCAGGTACTAGAGTGGAAATGAATTTTATGAAGCATGGCTTAATACATATCTATTCCCCTTTGGAGATGATACCTTAGAGCATCAATGAACAGCACAACTCCCATCTTCCAAGGATATTCATCTATCTCACATTTGACAGGCCTCACATGTGACAAGCCTCAAGGTTCATCCTTATATAGGACCTTAGAGACTTTTAAATTGAGTCAGTTTTCATAATGTGGAGGAGCCCAAAGCAATAATCCTGGATCTAAGCACACAATACATTATAATATTTTGGAGATTTTGATCCTTGACATTTTGGTGGGCTAAATAAAGTATATTCCTATACCTTGTTTATGCAGCTGTTCCAAGAGCTCATCAGAGCACGCCACCTTAATGGCCTGAGCACTGTGCTGAGATCAAGTGTCTGATGAGAAGTCTCTAATGATGCACAAATGATTATAAGTAGCAGCTGAGTGTTTCTCGTTTTGCATAAATATTTGGCTTTGGTGTTTTACTATTCTCTATTCTTTTTCTGTCACCCTGAAGATAGGGACAAAGTCATGCAAATAGAGTCAGTTCTGATTGCACTGTCAAGTTTCCACACCTAACAGTCTGATCCTGCCAGTATTCTGCTCCTAACACTTCTGACTCTTTTGTGGGAAAGACTGTCATTTCATCCAAGTCAAAACACTATGGGAATGGTCATGATACAAATGTAGCACCTTCATTGGAGAGGGTGCAAGAATAGGTGCAAAACATAATTTAAATGCAGTGCCTTGCTAGAACCACGCCAGAATCTGGAGAATTCCAGCCACCTGGAGACCTCAGACATTGTATCACATTTCTAGTTTTGCAAATTAATCAATTTCAGGCTACTCCTATTAGCATCTGACTCACGTTCCAGAGGAGCAGTTAGAGAGTGAAGGTAAAAAGGCATTACCTGTAGGAAAGGTCATGAGCCTTTATTTAGCCCAGCTCTTGGCTCTCAGAAGAAGCTGAAGTGCATTATTGTGGGATGTGAATCCCAATCTGTCAGAGAGGCTATCAGCAAAGGCACTTGCACAAGATCCCACATTTCAGACAATTGCAAGGGCAGTCATAAAAGGTAAGGGCAAAAATAAATCCATCACCTTCTTTGTAACCATCACTGTTTCATCAACAACTGAGACCTTCATACAAGGCTGGTTTAAATTCAAGGGACTTATAAAGCTTAAAGTGACTCTTTGTTATTTTGTGCAAAAATGGAGATAGGCAGTGTTGAAATTTAAGTAAGTTCTAAATTTTGGAAGTCAATGTTCAGGCACATATTCCCTGTAAGAGGGCTCAATCTTTTCCTGAGTACTTTGCCCCTTTAAAGCTTCTTTGCTAGTCATAACAGCACCAAGCCCTTTGCTAAAGGATTTGATCCAACATCCATGAAACTTAGTAATATCCCTCTGAATTCCACAGGTGCTCAATAAGGACTTAATAGAACACCATTCACCTGGTTTTCTAAAACACTTGAAAAACACCAATGAACTCATTAATTAAGCCACAGGGAACTCTTACAAGGTACTTTTTATACTTGTACAAACTGGAGCATGAAGATGCCCTCGATGGGTTGGTTTCAACACTTCCTGCTTCTACCAAAATGTCTCCATTGGCACATAGCCCAGCACCACATGCCAAATGTGAGTGCTCTGATGTAGACTGATCTCCTGGGGTTGTTTGAAGCCTCAGGACAGCCCCACCTGTGCCTTTGACTCCACACTCACCTAATGTTAACTGAGTAACATACACAACCACTTCAACGCCAGGCTTCAGTTCAAACTGGACCAGGTTCTGGTTGAGAGCATTAAAAAGGATTTCTACCACCTGATGAAATAAGTAGAGATACAACAGTTACAGTATAGAAGATGGCCAAGTCTGCAGAATATTCAGGAATACACAAAGCCCATGAATATGGATGACATCTCTTACTTCATCTTCAGCAGGGCCTGAGTCAGTGGAGAGAAATGCACATGTGCTTTAGGTGGAACTGGATGTCATTGCATGTAAGTCTCCCTTACAGAACTTATCAGACTCTCATTGTGTGTTATTATATCTCTCCTGGGAAGCAAACCTAAAAGGTTAGCATTTTTGTTTTCTTTTCTGGGGGCTACGGGCAGAGGGAAAATAACTAAGGACCTTTTCACCTTCCACAGTATCCTTTGAGTTTGATGAAACACGTTGGAAAAACACTGACATATTGGCCTTTCACTGGTGTATGATGAAACTAAATGCAGACCTGCATTTCTTTATTCCCATTGATCCTGTCATGCAGCTTCTATTCAAATAAGCTGTTGGGGATGAGACAATCCAGCTTAGGTCAATGGAAAATTTGCCATATTTCTCCTTCACTTAGAAAAGGGGACTTGGACTGGATACACTGGAATTGCTGAGCTAGGAGATCAGCAACCCAGCTCTGATGTGCTATTTGGTTGCCCCAGAGCATACACTCAGCATATCAGTTTGTTAATGCCTGATCTCCATAGAGTAGTTCTGATGGACAGGGCACAGCTAATGAGTAGTTCTAATGACCCATTCTCCAGGCAGAGCTCCTCAAGCAGAAGGCAACAGGTGCCAAAGTACAACCGAGTAGACTGCCAACTAAAATTAGAGTACTAGAGCTTTAGGCCTCATAGTCAGTTAGTCAAAAATCTAATTGAGATGTCAGCATAACACTGATATGTGAAATATTGACAAAACAGCTTGTTCAGAAGGAATTTTAGTATTGTAGATCCTACTGAACAGGACAGAAATTACTGCAAGACCATCCCTCCAAAAAGCCTTTCAAACCTTCCCACCTCAATGCATCTTTCCTGCACACTGACCACTATAAATTTAAGAGACCAGCTTTGATAATTTCCTAGGACAAAGGAACTCCTCTTCAGGGACTGAATTTACTAAGTGAGTGACAAGAATTTCCACTGAATTCACCAGCCCTCTGAATAATTTAATGTTCGATCCAAACTTCCAAGAGTTACTTGGCAATGGGCTCACACATAGTTTGCACAGTGTAAAAATGTTGCATACAAGAACATTAGCTAGAGCCAAGCAGCCTTTCCAGCAGTACTTCACTCCTTTGCCTTTACAGACCTGATTTAATCACTTGGTAATTCTAACATGAAAGCTTCAGCAGCCTAGTGCTGTTGTTCTTTCCTTGCCTGCATATCACCGTTGCTATACATCACTGTAATTACCTATTTATCTAAATGGATGGATATTGTAACTTCCAAATATAGTTTGTGCAGGCCATTCACTGCTGCAGAAGAAAAAAAAAAAAAGAGGTCTTGTTTTGGTGATCTATGAGCTGAAGAGTCTGATTTATTTTTAGTAAACCTCAGTATATTATCTTGCTGCTTTGGCCTCCCTTTATTAGCATTCCTCCAGGGAGTAGAGGGAGTACATATTCAAGGTTCCTTTGGCCATAACTACCGTAAAAAGGACACTCCACTGATTTAGGAAGAATCTCTGCTAGTGGTAAACTGTGACATATCTCAGTGAGGTATTAGAAAATCCTGGTTTTCCTCTGAAAATAATTTTCTTTAATGCCATAAACTATACTACCACAGTCCCAGATGCATCCACTTCCACCACACTTATTGTAAGTACTTCCAACGCTGAGCAGCTTCAGGGGCCCATCTGCAAATAATATGACAGGAATAAATGTTCCATGAATCCTTCTTTCCTTACTTGCTCCAGATCAGCCTCACTGCTTTTCCTCCTCTCTGTTGTGTTTTTGTGGGGCAGTATGAAGAGTTCAGCAGATGTAGGCAGCCCAGGGAACACAGCTACCAGGATCTGTTCATCAGGGATACCAGTCACCTAGAAGAAAAGCAAAAAGGAGTCTCTAGCTGCTATTTTGTTAATTATGTTTCCATTCACTTCCAGAAATGGCACTCCCATCAAATTGTTACTTTTCAGTTCACTGTAGGTGTTGTGGTCCTAATGAGCTGTTCTGCTTATTCAGTGGGTCATAAATTGAGCTTCTGGTAAAGATGCACTCTACTTCCTTCCTAGAAGTGAATGTAGGCTTGACATCATCCCTGGGCCCAAAGATCTCAACCCAAAGTCCAAACCTAGCATGTCTCCAGATCTGAATGTTCCACAGAGCCCTCCTTGCTACAAAAGAATAACTGACCCAAAGTCAGATCCAGAGAGTCTGTCTCAGAGCAACCAAATGTGCAACTAACAGGGACAATATGAAGAAAAGTGCCTGCAATCACCTTCTGTTATCAGGCTATGGGATCCATATTTGTCACACATGAATAGCAATGTCCCCAGAGGGAGACTTTACTCCTGGGGCTGGTCAGGAGGGCTGTGTAGAAGTTATTCAGTTTGCTGAGCCAAGACTCTCACAGCTGCCTTCAGCAAGAGCTGCCTGCTGAGGCTGCTGCCCTGCGTCCCCAAATCCAAGCCAGGCATCCTCAGTCGGGCAGGAAGCCTCCCCTCCCTCAGAAATGCTCTGCCACACGAGGTTCATCAGCTCCATTAACTCTCTGGTCCTATCCCACCTCAAACTCCATGGCCTCAGAGCTGAAATGAACCAATGGGGCAGCCCATTCCTGGTGGGATATACAAGCAAGCACTTCTACTTCTCTGCAATCATTCATAGTTACAAGCTAAGTAATTATTTTGGTCCTGCAAACTTGACTCTGAATACAGTAAAAAGCAAAAAAAACAGTTTAAAAAAATAAACTTAGCATTTTTTCAGGATGGTAAAACAAACAAGGAAACTCTTATAAACTGTGAATATTGAGTGGGCTGCAGTTGAGAAAAGCTGAGCAGGAATGTACTTTCCCTGTAAAAATAATCAGCCTCCATTTCTATGAACAGCTGTAGCTAAAGCAAAAAAATCCCAACAAGATACATTTTCGGCAGAATGTAAAACCCACAAAAGCTTGTCTAAACCTAGGTCCTAATTTCACACCAAACTAAAGTCCTTATTTGATTTCCTAAGTTATTCTGTCCCCTTTCCTACAAGAATATGAGTACTAGTTTACATATTCTAATTAATCCCAAAGGGAGATTCAGTATCTTCCACCTACAGAAGTCTCTCTTTATCCTATATTTTAAAGGTAAGTTTATTTTCCCTCTGAATCCTCATTTTTTGCCCCAGTTGGAAAGGGAGTAGAGCTTTAAAATGTTCACCAGTTGCTACACTTAGCTGCATGTGGAACTCCTGACTATCAGGAAGAGATAAAAATATCTTCCTCATGTATCCAGAATACTACAATGTGTTTCTTCTGGGATGAAGTGGATCAGCTGTTTAACAACACACAGTAACACTAACCAAATATTTGGAATAGAAAACAGTACATACTGTCATATCATCTTGGAAAAATAAGAATAATGATGATACTATTACGATCTGGAATTTGCAAAATCCTCAGGGATATGAAAAGCTGAAAAGCACACAGAAAGGCTAATAAAAGTAATTGTAGTATTTCCTCAAAATCAGCCATACAGATTGGCTCTGTAAAAAGATCCAGCATATTAAGAAGCTCTTAATTGATTTTTAATGACAGTGTCATCGTTGCTGTGTTTACCCATTCTTTTAAGCTAGTATGTCAAAAAAGTGCATGTTTAACAGCCTAGTCAATGTTAGTACAGACAAGGAAACAGATGCTCACCTGTGCTAGTGCTCTCTTGATGACTTTGCCAACATCTTGTCTCCATTCAGGGATGTCAGGGTTATAGTAGTCCAAGTTGGGAGAAAATGACAGCAGCTGAGATTGGAAATACTCTGGAATAGAAAAAGTATTTATGAGAAGATGAAATGGGCAGTGTTTAGGGTACAGACAAGGGTGCAGAAAACAACAGGAGGACCATAACCATCGTAAAGCAAGAGAGTGAGACAAGGCTGAAGGAAGAAAAAGGCTGGCTAACACTAAGCAGGACAGAGAGCTTGCAAGGAAAGAATGCTTATAAAGGACGTTTTGACCTAATGCCAACTTCTGGCTTTCCCCAGAGAAACAGAAGCAAGAATGAGAGAGGTGAGAGGATGCTTTCATGAAGCCTCTGGGTTTTGTAATTTTGCCATTCAACTTCAGATTCTGCTCACAAGAAGGCTGACCAGCAAATAAGGCAGCACCTGGCTGAAATTTGTACAATTGCAGAGCGAACAATTGCTGTAAGTAATGTTTTCTGTTTACCCTCCTGGAGGGAAACCAGGAGTGGTTAATTCCCCAACAAAGGAGAACCTGTGGTGCTAATGACTGGCTCATCAAGCAGTGGCTATTGACAAAACAATGATGATTTCCAGAATGATTTCTGGAAAGAAGAAAAGCTTCCTAGACTTAAAATACAGAAGGATTTTAATTTTTCTCCAATTCCAACTCTCCCTGCTGGTCTCACCAAATACCAAGTCTGGAATCCTTGTGGAAGCTCGGCATAACAGATTGGGGCCAGTGGGAGGCACAGATCTAGGATGGGAATCACAGATCCAGGATGGGAACCACACTCTTATAAAAGTGCTTGGTGTAGATGATTCTCCTTTATGTTTTTGGAGATGTTCTGTGCCTCACCTTGAAGCAACTGATCTCCAGACACTTCAGGTAAGTACCATTAATCATTTGTAAGGCACTAGTTTTAGATCAAGATAAACCTGCCAGGGTATAAATAAGGAAATCCATAGAAAAGCAGAGGTGTGTGAGCACACCATTTATGTGGCATCTTTTGCAAGATCTGCTCTTTCTTTTTAGATGGTACAGCATGTTTTTAAATAAAAAAAGGATCAAAGAGCACAGGGAAAGTCTCTCAGGTTCTGAAGATTTAACCCAGAGTCAGATAAATAAAGTCTTTGACTTTTGACCCCATGGCTAATTTATTATTTTGAGCAAATTCTTTTCTGTTCATCTCAAATTAAGATTATATCTTAATAAATCTCCTCCACTGATAACACCAGAAATCCATGCCTAGATTATTGCCTAGACCCATAATCACTTGACTCAGGACACAGATTAGGATAGAAATTAAACAGAGGACATGTTTACTAAAGGCATCACTTGTTTATGTACTCAGACTTTAACACGTCACCAGACTGAGGGGCTGGAAGGATTCCTTCCTCAGACCAGGTCAGTCTGCAGCACTGCTCTGGATAGCACTATTTGGACTGGATCCAAATGGGTCAATTTGTCTTTGTGACAGAACCCAAAACTTTGGATCTTCCAAACAAAATGGCAACATTTCTTCCAAGGTATTTAAAAACAGAATGAGGAGCTCTCTGCTGAGACTAAAGATGAAGAACCCCTGTGGGTATCATTCTTAAATATATTTGATTCAGGTTTATTCTAGAAACTAGTGGAAGGATGGAAATTTCCAAGAAGTAAACACTGCATTTTGAAGTGCTCAAAATTATTAAGTAGAAGGTTCCTAATATTTGATAATAGCAAGTCAAAGTACTACTAAATCATATCAACAAATTATTAAAGCCTATTGCATTTCATGGCCAGACAATCAATAAATATCTATTTAGCTGCTGTTAAATCTGAGAATGCAGCAGGACATTTATTTGTATTTAATTACTGAAATAAGACACACACAGTGCAACTACACAGTGCTGAGCTTCAAAGTAGCCCAAGTTATTTGAAGCTCAGGTTTCTCAATAAAACTTGAAGTCCAAAAAAAAAGCTTGTCCTCAAATTCTGGATAAGGAGAATAAACACTGGTCCAGGGCATAAATTATTCTAGAAGTTGAAGCTGCTGAGAGAGCCTCTTCACCCAGGATTTATCAAACCCCAAACAGGGTAAACTCTGTTGTTTGAAGGGGTGCTTCCTGAAGCCTGTGACATCCAGAAATGGCAAGAACATACCAACCATTACCCATGGGAAAGTCCAGTGGGCACACTCAGAACTCCAGCTGTGAAAGATGGGCAGTGATACCAACAACAGAGTTGTCGGCCCCTCCTGATCCCTGTCATTTATACAGTCACTAACAGAGACATCACTTGCATTCAGATCACCTTAATGATGCACTGTGACGATTTCATTCCACAGATGGGAAGATGAAGGAAGGCAATCTGGTTCAACTGTTTTTTATTTCTGGGAGCTCCCTGTCTGGGTGTACAGACAGATCAACAGACACAGGAGACACCAGCCACCTAATTAATGCTGAGGTTAGAATTTGGTTAGCTGCCCCATTCTATTCACTTCTGTATTTTGCCATCATGACACATGTGAGCTTCTTGGTCATCATAGGTTTGTCTTCAGAGGTTCCTCCAGGCATTGTCAATTCCTAGAGTTCATTCTGGATCAGCAATGATTGTCTGCCCTTCCCCCCCGAGATGTGATAGCAAAAGGCTGAGGGTACCATGCACTGCCACCTCCTTGGTGTCCTGGATGAGGGTGTTTCCCCCAGCGACTTGCACGGTGACAGTGTTCATCCCCTCCACAGTGAACATGTACGAGATGCTGCTCTCTAAGGTGATGAGGGGCTGTAGGAGACAAACACAAATGACAATATCAAAATCAGGGTGAGATTAACTCAGGATCACAACTTGCATCTGATTTATTCACCAGGAAACAACAGCCTTGCTCCTTGGTAAGGTGTGGTGCTGCAAGTTTGCATGTCTTGCTAAGGCCCAAACACCATCCTGTGAGCAGTGTCCCACAGGCACAGGTTTCTCTCATTTCAGCAAATGTTTCCTGAAATATTCTTCCATTGAACTGCAACCCATTATTGTATGGACTCCTCAGCAGACCACAGTCAGCAATTGCAGAATTAATGCAGTAGAATGCAGCGTTGTACACACACAGCCAGACCAGCTGCTGTATTTGCTGTACAAACCCCAACCTCAATTTGAAAATAAACCAAAGTTGCAGATGCTTCTTCAAACAATCCATATTGTTCAGACTCAGGGCCAGCCTTTGCTTTTATGAGCACAAATCCATTTATCTCTCACAGGGCAACACTGCTCAGGTCAGAGTGAGCACACCCAGCATTGCCCTGTCCATGCTGTGTGTCTGTAAGCAAGCTGCAGCCACAGGCTGGCAAACTCTGCTACCCAGGCTGAAATCATGGCATCATTCCTGCTGACAGTGCTGACTGAATGTGGCTGTGGAAGGGATCCACACTGCAGCAGCCCATGGGAAGGGCCCACATTGAAGAAATTAATGGAAAACCATCTCCCATGGGAGGGACTCCATCTCACAAGCAGGGGAAGAGTGGGAGGCGTCTTCCCCCTGAGGAGGAAGCACTGGAAGAGACAACATGTGATTAAGTGATCACAGCCCCCATTCCCTGTCTCCCTGCACTGCTGGTGAAGGAGGAAGCAAGAGAATTCAGGAGTGAAATTTAGCCTGAAAAGAAAGGAAAGATGTGGGAAGGTGTTTTAAGATTTGGTTTTATTTCTCATTATCCTACTCTGATTTGATTGATAATAAATGACACTAATATCACAAAGTCAAGGCTGTTAGGTTTGGGGGGTTTTTTTAACAGTAATTAGTGGTACCTCTCTGTCATTACTGTGACCTGATTTTGTTATATTTTATATATCCTGCCCATGTAAGGAGGGGAATGATAGAGTGGTTTTAGTGAACAGTTGGTGTCCACTAAAGCAGGGTCAAGCAACCACAACTGAAAATCAGTGCCACTGATCTGATAACTGGTCTACAGAAATAACTCTTTATTTAGAGAAACCACAAGGATGCAAATAGTGATACTAATCTCCATTGCAAAAGCACACAGAAAACAGATAAAGCCATTGTACCATTGCTGTTGTCCCTTCGGTACACTGTCAGTTTGTTTTCAGAGGAAAACTTCTAAACTTTCACCTTCCAGCTCTCATACTTTATCTCATCAGGCTGCCAGCCTGACTGCACTTCACAACAGTGGTCATTTCATAGTCAAATCAAAATTTCCACCTGCACAGGCCAGACTGGCAAGCACATTTCTCTCTCTAGAACACCACCTTCCTTAGACCCTCTCATCCATTGAGCTGAAAAAGCAGCAAAGAACAAAAAGTCTTATCACATGGCACACACAGTCCAAGGGCACCAGCTTGTGCCAGCCCTGGAGGCCTAGCTAACATTTACTGAGATATACACAGACCCTGGAGAAGCTGAATGGGCCTGCATCAAACTGCAGTGATATCAGAAATCCTCCTGGAGGTTACAGGTTGTGGTTCTGTGCAAAGGCAGATAAGAGAATGTAGTCTGGCCTTTAAAATTACAATTTTTTCTTTTTGTATATGTGTATGCTGGACATTCCATTATCATGGATGATTTCACCTCCATCATGGAGTTTTAATATCCAGCCAACTCCTTAATTTTAATTCAAGAACCAAGACCTGGAAACTAACTCTAAATTAAATCAAGTAGTTTAAGGTTCATTTGCTCAAACCTATTAGACACCTGGATACATTTATTAAACTGGACCTGTGTTAATCCAGGCAAATTGGCCTTTGGGCATATTGCAAAAATCAGTACAGTAGAAATTCAGTACAGGAATTTCAGCAGGGTGGGAAGAGCAGTAGGAGAGTCTCAGCCAGGTCATTTGAGTCTAAGAAAATACTCTCCTGTGCAGCAGCACAGAGAGAGAGACTGCACAGTGACACGAGACACATCTGGTTCTGCCTGGGATGGCTACGGGCTGAACAGGAAAAGAAGCTGCAATGCCTCAGCATGGAAGTAAAATATGTCATCTAATAATACCAGTCACAATATTACACATCTCATCCTTTAATTCAGTGTCCCCATCTTCCACCTCTACTCAGAACACCATAGTTTACTCCTGAGCAGGCACACAGAAGGATCTGACATATACATTAAACATCCCAGGAGGAATTCTGATGTGATACAGACTGCTCTTCTGAAAAAAGGGGCTGATACAGTAACGTCTATATCCCTTGCAAAACCTCTGCCAGAGTTAAAATACATTCCATGAGGAAGCTGGAGATAATGCTTTGTAAAGACTGAAGAGTGCTCTGGGTCTGAGATTCAGACACAGGTAAGTGGCACCATGTTTACTCCTCCACATTTCAGCAAGGTGCCAAAGTGTCAACTACTCCATGTGCAGCTGTGTCCAAAGGACCCATCCCAAACACATCCACATCTGCTTGTACTCTGCTGCCTATGGGTCTGAAATTTAAGCTAGAAGATGAAATAAATCATATTTCCAACCCAGAAGCAAGTACTGTGAAAACGGTGTGGAAATCTTCAGCAAACACCTTGCTTTGCACCACCTTTTCTAGATTGCTTTCTATTCCAAAAAATCATTTTTAAGGCCCTATTCACAATCAACTTCTATAGTAAGGACAAAAACAGTGGCAGGAAAACTCTGTGCTGGAGGGCTTAAGCAGATGATCAAGTTACAAGCACCTGAATTGTCTCAGATGTACTTTAATGGTTCTCCGTGTGTGAGCACTGAGCCAAAAATATCTGAACTGTAATGTGATTTTGCATGCCTGGATTTCAATGCAGTATAAACTATGTGGAATTACCTGGTACTTGCAATGGACTAGATGTGCATATGTGGGTGGTTGCCATAGTTCAGATAGGGCACAGCAACTTGCCAAGCTACAGTAAATGGTTTTTGCTACTGAGCTCTTCCACTGCCTCAACTATGCTTCCACAAAAATAAGCAAGTTCTTACAGTGAGCTTCCTAACTGGATGGAAAATCCCAGCAGAAGCAGCACTTACTGTTTTTATTTTGCCTCTCCTGATATTGTTGGTAGCTAGGGTAAGAGGTTAAAACTAAGCAGCTTTGTCAAAGAGAAAACAAAATGCTTGTGTGCCTATTTTTTAAATCAAGTTCCATATTTCATGTAAAATCCCTGTTTCTTTCTGCTGCAATTTCATCTCAGTGCACACCTTCAATTGCAAATGTAGACAATGACATGACTTAAACTGCTTTTGTAAATAACAGCAGAAACTAACAACAACTAATAACAGCTGTACATTTCACAACTGTAAGAATGGAGAATAGTGTCTGCCTCACTTCTAAAGCCTACAATAAAAACTGTAGCTAATAGGCAATCCTGCTCTTTTCATTTAAAAGCATGACATCAACTTGTATTTTCACTTACTTTAACTATTGCTAAAAAAGCTCTTTATAATACATACAGTTACAACACACACAACTTGAAAATTCACTACAAAGAAGTCTCATCTTCCTCTCTAACATAGCCAGACTCTTCAGCTTGAAATTCTAGATGCAACTGTTTATTTGAACACCAAGAGCTTTAAAGTACTGTGTTGGAATCCAGCATTATGTATTGCACACTGGCACATAATGGAAACCCCCTGGTTATTTGAACACCAGCAGTTTTTAAACACTGTGTTGAAACCAGCATTATTCCACACATAATTCAGTTAAGTTGCAAGTGAACACTGGTAATAACAGTGGGCTTCAAATCTCAGTAGGGCTGATAACAACCAGATGGAGAAAGTAATGACTCCTAAGGACTACACAAGGCAGAAGAAAATAAATTCACAAAGGTTGAAGTTCAGATAATAACAACCCTTTTCTGACAAGATAAAAACTAACCATAAAACAGATAAAGGCAAGAAGTTTTTGTAAGGGCTGAGAGAGTTCTCTGACTGTTGTGGCAAGCTTAGGAGGAAAAAATGAACCAAAAGGTCTCTGTACCTTGGTGCTGTTGCCAAACCACCAGAAGTAGGTAAGCGTGCCTGCCTGGCTGGGCCAAACTACTGCAGTAATGTTGACATCCTTATTTCTGATGGCAACAAAGGGGACACTCAGATGGACGTGCTCCACTGGACCTGTGGGAAGAGAGTTCATTATGAAAGGCTTTGACTTAAATCCTCCCTTCACAGTTGTGAACAGGAAGGATCATTCCTTTAAATAAATCAGAAGTCCTATGTCAGCAGTGAGAGTCTAGCTTAGAAATGAAAGAGAATTTCAGCAGTCACTGAACACAGAAAAAGATAATCAGATTTAAAAGCACTTCCCCCCCCCCAATTATGCATATTTTTCATAGTGCTAATTTTCAGACATTTTTTAAATGCATTTTGAAGAAACATAATGAACTGGTTTTGCATTATATAGAGAAGTTTCTATTGAAAGTCATAAGGATAGGACGCAAGAAAGGGATAGGACACAAGTGAGAAAGAAGGCTTTTCAAGGAAAATATAGCCACTGAGTTACTAAGATTTGTGGGAAAATCATTTTAGCCAAGATGGCTTAAATCTGGTTATGTAAGAGGCATTTATGACTAGATTAAATACCCCAAACAGTTTTTCAAAAGGTCTCAAAAATAAAGAGTCGTGCTTTTGGAAATCCTTGGTATCTTTTTGACTTAGGTCTGACCTTGGGAAGTCTTTGGGAAGTCAGCTGCCCCTAGTATAACATCAGGAACCACTTGAAAGATGTGTGCACTGGCATAACAAAGCATGCAACTTTCAGAAGCACTGAATTCTGAAAGAGTTAAAAAAATAAGTACCAATGCAAAGTTGTATCTAATAAATGCAAATGCCCAGAATAAATCCAGGGCACGAAGTCCTGAACTCAGAAGGCAGATCGTCTCTAAAATCTCTCAGTAAAAAATACTGATGTTTTGTTTGGTAGTTTGTTTAAAGCTTCTACTATCTCCATTGTTCTTCTTCTCATTTAATCTTTTGGTTTTGCTGGTACTGAATTTCAGCTGATAACTGCTGCCCATCAGACAGTGTTACTGTCTGGGTAGTACCTTTAAAACACAGCAAATTGACAGACTATCCCTGTGAGATGGAAAGGACAAAATAAGAAAAGTCAGAATCTTTTTTTTTTTGTGTAAGACATACATTCTGGGAAACAGGAAATTTAGTGATTTTAACTGAGACAATCCTCTTGTGTTACCTCTTAGCATGAAATGGGGACAGTAATCAGTTCTCCATCTACTTGGATTACAAAGATTGTGGAGAGTAAGAGCTGTTCTTTTATCACTGGAACATAGAGCTCCAAGCACAAAAGGACCCTATTTTTTGCTTTTGGCACCTTAAAACTTGATCTTTTTTTTCCCCTTTCCCCAAGAGGTCTCTACTAGAAAGTCACTCCTGTACTCTGAGCATAGGAAGCACTCTGAGTGTGCAAGAACAGCAGGTTCCCCTAAATATTCTGTGACAGTGCAAGTAAGAGGAAAAACACTAATATCTCTGCTTCCTTTAAGTATCAAAATAAGCAACTTCCAGATAAATAGGTGGATTCCAGAAAGAAGAAAAGTTAACTGACTGCTAATAAAGCTGCAGGGTACAAAATTAATGTTGCTTGAGGCCAAGGAGCCTTTTTATCTCTTTTTTTTAGGACAGGATCCCAATATCAGAGTGATTGTATAGTAAAAATTATTCTCAGGCATATTTGTCTGTACATTTGAACTTCAAGGTCAAACCTCCTATATTGACCAGTACTTCCAAATATATTAAAAGTTTAGTACTGAGGTGTCATCTTATTTCAGCATTAGCACGAATGTAAGTGCTTGCCAAATATTTCCCTAGAGATGATGATAATAAATTGGCCACCTAAGACTGTTATAAAAGTCAAAGGAGAGCTCTGAAAGGTTGATGAAGAAAAGGGTGGAGCAGCAAAACCAGGTCAAGGAACTGTCCCTTGCTGCATTCTGCTTTAAAATCCTCACCATGAAAATGTAGTTCCTTTGAGAAAAATCAGATAATCCATACAAATCTGGTTGTTATTACCAGGTAACCATCACTTTTGTCAGCTAATGGCCCAAGGTGAAGCAAAAAACAGTTAATGCTCTAATAACAGGTTGTTAAGTGCAGCCATGATTGACTTTGAGGGAATTATGAGCATAATAAAAGCTTCAAGGAACATTTATTCCTTCACACAGGGAGCTGGAAATTAAAATGGAGAAAAAAGTTCTTGAGTTTGGAAATTTCTAATGTGCTTCCTCTCAGCAGAAAAGCTCAGGCAAAAGGCAGGATGTAAGACATTCTGACAGGTAAAGAGGGAAGGCAGACATGGCTACGATCACCATTAGGGGCAAAAACGATGGGGTGCATCTGAACACAGAAGATCAAATAGTCTATGAGTAGATCAAATAACTGGGCTGGTTTTGGTCTCATCCTGCATTTCACCCTCTCTGCTGTCTCCTTTGAGAAGTTAACTGAGAGTTCTATATGTGAGTTTGCTCATGTGTCAGCTGGAGAGAAATTGCACTGATCTATGAAACAGGACAGAAATATCAGGGATGCATGTCAAACACATGAAGTGCCAAAAGTAGCACATTAGCCCTCATTATATTCATATCTCAGGAAGCAAACTCATCATAATGCTTCTATTTCATCAAATTAGCACTGTAAACTCAGAAATTCTGAATAAGTGACTCAAAACTGAGCAGTTTAATCTAATCCTCTTGGAATGACACACATACTGAAAACACACATTTAGACTTTGTTTCATGTGCTGCTTGGTCTCTGACCCTTTCAGAAAGCCCAACAGATATTTTCAAACTTTTCTCCGTAACTCTGAGGACTGCAAATATACTCATGTTAAAAAACAACCCTTGCCTTTCTCTTTATTCATTCAGTGGAGTCTATTTAAAAGTCAGAAGAGTGTCTAGAAGCCCAGGCCTTTGGAAGAGCCTGAGCTGCCCGTGTATGTTGGTTTGCACCTACTCTTAGAAGCTACAGGGACTACACTGAAGCTGCAGGGACTTTCAGTGAGGTCAGATTGTCACTGTCAGGTGTCAGATTGTCAGGTGGAAATACTCACAGACCACGTGCAGGAAGAGGACAGCAGTGTCTGAGCCCAGGCTGTTCTCTGCATATGCTGTCACCTGGAAGATTCCAGCACTCTTGTACACGTGCCGGATGCCATCGTCCACAGGGCTGAAATTGGCATAGGACACTGCAATGCCATCCCCAAAATCAAGCTGGATGTTTGTCCTTTGGAGATCACCCTGCAACAGAGAAGGTTGATAAAAGGGATTTATATTACCCTCCATCCCACTTAGTTCCATTTCATTAGGATAGACACAAAGTAGTAACTTTTCAAAAAAAGCTGAGCTTTGTTCTGTCATTCCCCAAAGTGGCAAGACACAGACAGCAAAAGACCAGTATCTCATCCTAAAATAACTGAAACAGGTGACATGAATCATCTCTTGCAAATATCCACCCCTGATTATACAGAGTTTACAAGACCAGTTTCATCCAGACATGCAGCTTCAGGATGACGGAATTTATACAGGTTGAGTCCCATGGTGAGGACTGACAGATTTTTTTTTTTTTTGTCCAATGTCAGTCAACACAGAGACAGGGCCTGGATACACAGGAGAATGAAGGAGATGATGAGAAAATCTCTTATAGGATTACTGTCAATGACAGTTATTAAATGAAGGAGGGAAAAACAGACAAGAAATTCAAGCACAACAGGTATTGTCTGGAGACAAAAGTTGCACTATTTTAGTTTAAATCATGCTTTAAACCACTGTAGTTGAACTGTACAAGTGTCTGTTATTTCAGTTTCTTGGAGTCTTATTTTATACTTGCCCCCAGCTGACTAATGTAACACAAAACAAGGCTAATTTAAACAAAGCTAAACCCCACTGCAGTGATTTCACTAAACTGAAATAAAACTACAACTCAGATTAAATCTCTGTAGCTTTAGCTTTCCGCATATATATATAAGATGTATTGTGCCAAGTAATTTCCTTTCATGAAAGATCTGCACTGTATTCACTGGGGGTGAAGAAGATGCCACCACATTTTGGAGATATTCCTAGCCCCAAACTGAAGTCAGTCCCTAGATATATTCAGGATGTGATCTGAAATTAAAAAAAAAAAAAAAAAATCTCTGCTCATAAATTTACTTTTTTTTTAAATGGGTAATTCAGAAATATTTTACAGTCATCTCGTAAACCCCATTATAGCTTTAAATGCACAGGGAGAACACACAAGAAGCCAGACCACAATGAAGCAGGTCCCATGTGTAGAAAATCAGGACTCTAGCAGTCCTCACAGAATTTACCCTCCTCATAGACTATACCTGCATAAAGAAATCAGAGTGCAGGAAGGGTATTTTTCAGTTGTAAATTTACTTTGAGAATATACTTGGGGTCTTCAGACACTCATATAATCAGGATTATTGCATGTAGTTTTTGAAATATGGGTATTTGAATACAGATGTTAGATCTCTCTCCTTCCTTGCTCCATCATTCCCATTCCATGAGAGCCAGGGCAGTTTTGGCTATTGACTTGATCAGAGCACCGTTTTCACCTCTGCCCTACTTGGACATTAAAAATTCAGTATAAACCAAAGAGCAGTCAGAAAGGACTAAAGTGGTAGTGACACTAAAACGTACCTATAATATTGAGTAGTCAATAACATCCTTTAGACAGAGTTTTTAAAGTCACTCTAAAAAACTCTCTAGCAGGAGCAAAATTACACTCTTGAGATATTCAGTTATTTGATAGAAAGGCTCCCACAGCTTGTTAAACCTTTCAAAACCACTTCTCGAGGGAATGTACTAAGACCCCAAGCCCATCTCATATAGAAGATACTGAACAAAGGATAAAAATTTGATCTGGGCTGGATTCATCACCGATGACCTCAGGCTGCAATCTCTTGCACCAGTCATGGCAGCTCATCTCCCTTGCCTGACAATTCTCTTTTCCATTTTGTTCTTGCTTCTCCAATATGATTCTATCTGAAATGAGATGGTTTCACACAGAGAAACAAGAACAGATTTTTCATGACTAAACAAGAGCAGATGATCTTTTCATTCAATTATGAGCTGGGTCTTCTGCCCATCACACTAATCATGTTTTCCTTCTCCTTTCCATACCTCTGTATCAGGTATATAAAATACTAAACTAAGCATGCTAGTCCCACACAAAGATGTCAGATATTCTGGAGTTTGTAAATACAAATTGAAATAGAAGTAAGTGGAGGCATTTCAAAAGGAAAAAGAAATCATTGCTCTCCATTTACATTCAAGAGGCATGTTTTGTTGCTTTAAGCCCCATAAATAACTGAAAGGGAACAAGGTATGGGTTGTCACAAACACTGGCTCTGAATATGGGAATCTGCGAACAAATGTGGTCAAGAGCACAACTCCACAACAGCTATTTGGCAGTCTAATATTTCTTTGTGATCAAAACAAATTCATAATTAAAAAGTCTAAAAAGGTTATCTCCTCATGTTCTCTTGCATGACTAGTCCAAATCACAGTTCAGCCCCATATTCCTGAAAACACAGAAAAACCATCAGTCATTCTGCATTTCTTGGTCCGTAGTCATTGCTACACATGTATTCCAAATATCACTGTGAAGAATCCCACTAAAGTTAATTCTATAAATCCTGAGAAATTCAGGTTTCAATTAAGTATGATGAAGTCTTCATTTACCACTGACAGCCTAAAGGTCAGTGATCTCCATATTTTGAGGGTGTGTAGTAGAAGGCAGGGAAGAACTGCAGGCTCATCAGGGTGAGTCTGACCCAGCTGATGGAGACCACACAGATGTGCCCATAGGAGGGCTGGCCAGGCTGCTGCTTGGCTCAGAAAGGAAGTGTAAACCTAGGCACAAAACACCACCAGTAAACAGACTGACCAGAGAAGGTGGAGGAAGCCAGGAATGAATCTATACGGCAACAAAGTAAGCAATTATTAAGACCTCTAAAGAAATTATTTATTCGAAGTCATAAGGAAATCTTTGGCCACAATTCTTCTCAGGGTCACGCTAAAAGACTGGAATACCTTTCTCCAAAATCTCAGTCTTCTTTTTCTTTTCTTTTCTTCTTTAGAGTCTATTATTTAAGAAACAAACTCAACACACAACTTTCTGTGGAATAAGCTGTTCACCTACAGAGACATGTTCCAAAGATCCTCTTTCTTTAGGAGAAAGAAAGGCTGTTTAAATGAAATGTTTTTCTAACTACCATTATTTTTCAACAACAGACATGAGAGTGAACACCCTCACATATTTATTCAGCTGCCTCTTCAATCTCTAAATCCTTGCAAAGATTCCACTCTTCAGCTACCCTGACTGCTGCCTTATTCCCCATCTGTTTATCATTCTTCATATGCAGCAGTTCCACTTGAGTTCCTTAATAAATTACTAGCTGATTCCTAATTTTTAGATTATATCTGTTCTTTTTTGAACTCCCACTCATAGTGTCTACACAAATTGTCTCACCATGTCAAGTCTGCAGAATAAAAAAGAAGCAGCAAGTAGACAAGAAATCCCCCTTGTATAAAAGCAGAGCATGCATGAACCTCTGAGGAAGTAGTAAAGAGGCCCTGTCAGATTAGTGTGGTCCCAGTGAAATACTTAGCTACTATATAAGAAGTTAATTTAGTGTGAGAATGTGTCTGTCTGTGGGTGGTCTGCCTTGGCCGTCTCCAGCTGTCTCCAAAATAACATACACAGGACAGAAAATGTGACAAGAAACAGTTGTGCTTCTCCAGCACCACCTCAGTCCCTGGCCAGAAGAGCCTCAACATTTTGATGCTTTTGGCAGCAGCATGGTCTGGTGTCACTAATGCTACTGTTGGCCATAGAGGGAACTGTACCAATAGATAAATACAATAGATAAGGGCTGGGGGCTAGAGGTGCTTTGAGGAGACTCAATTCTTACTGCAAAATAACAATGCCCCTCATTGTTCCATGAGTGTGAACATGTTCTCCACTGTTCTTACCTTTCCCAGAAAAGCTTTGCATCCCAGAAACAGAATTGTTGATCACAGAAACACCACTTTTGCCTCATAAACTCCATAAACTGCAGTTTAGTTGAGGCAGTAAGAAGTGAATGGGGAAATAAATTTTTTAACAGATCTATCTTTCTTCAGCATTAACACCATCACTGATAGACAAGATAACCCAACATTTTGGTGTGACCCGATATGACCTGCTTTTATGTGTCACTATAGCCTTCAATTCTCTTAAATTCTTTAAGTCTCATAAGTCTCAGGGTCATTCACCAATTCATGATCCCCCTTGATTGCTATTTCCCTCTCAGCAACCTAAAAAGTGAAGGAAAAGAATGCCAGTCTTGCCACAGAGAGAAAGGTTTCCTGAGACCACTGACACACCTCTTCCATGAGGATGATGAAGGTGGCATTGTGCCCCTGCTCCAGGACCAGCTTCCCATCCGAGGTGAGGATGTGCAATCCTCGAGGTGCTTTTCCAGGGCATTTCTCCATCCTGGCCATGTACTTTTCTCTCAAGCCATCTGTGCAGTTGTTAGACACAATCCTTCGGTACCTGAGCAACGGTAACAAGAGGACATCAGGCTCAGACAGTGGGCAGAAAAGCTCCTTTGTTTTGTTTTTGTTTTGTCTCTCCACATTAATGCATGTGTTTTTTCAAAGGCTGACTGCCTGCATGATCCCCTCACTGAAAGGAAGACTCAAAGAAACCCAATGCTTCATTAAGTAGGAGAAAGCCAAACCAATCCCAATTCAACTTTCTCCAGAGATTCTCAGCAGCATCACTGAGAAGAGACACATTGTGGAGGTGAAATATTCTGCCCTACTAAAAAGCAGAGAATTCCTTCAACTCAACATCTGCAGGCTTGCATCCTGCATCACAGCTTTTTAGTTATACCATTAATTAGGTTTTGTCTGCCTCTATTGGGCTAGAGGGCACTTGAAAAAATATGCCAAGGGCTTTGCCCAGTTCAGTTTTAAAATGATTTGAGATACGGGTTTTTCTCTTGGCTCTTCTTGGAAGAGGTTGGCTAAACAGCAAGACTATTCCTGGTGCTGTTGAGGGTGGTTAACCCTTTCTATTAATTTCATACAAACCCCAACTATATTCTTGTTGCTCTCAGTCAAGAAGGCTACAAGCAGTCATACTGACCAGGGCTCCTGTAATTACATCCCATATTTAAAGTAACTTTTCAGCTGAAAGGGGGTCTCTGAGGTCAAATGCCTCTAGGCTCCCAGCAGCCTTACTTCATCGAGCCACCTGCACCAACCAGCCAGGAACAGAGCTGGTTCCTGCCATAGCCATCGAGCAGGCAGGACACATGACCCAGAATCACCCCTACAAAATTTGCAGGGCCTGCCCTGTCCTAGAAGGAATTCTGCACCAGCCAGTGAAATTCAAGTCTCACAGCATTTCCTGCATGATAGTAGAGCATTTGCAAAGTGATGCTGCCATAATAAACCAACACTTGCCATCTGTTCTGGGTTAGACCAGGAGAAATCAGCACATGAAGCTTGTCTGAATTGCAAGGCATTTGTATGTACAAAGTGAAAATGGCAGAGGAAGGAAACACAAAAGAGGCTAAAAATTGCTCATTTGAGCCTTCCTAGAAGCTGATATAAATAGGAGCTGTAAGATAGTAAGAGGTTCAATAAAATACAATGTGAAATACCTCAAACCTGTCCTTTTAAATGTTCAGCTGTCTCTCAGACAGACCTTTTTGATTTGTGTTTTAATTTTGCAGCGAAGGGGAGCTCCAAGTCTAGGCTCTAGGGATCCCACATCACTTGCTAGCAATGCAGTATCTACGTGTCACTTATGTTAATGTGCTTCTCCCTCTCTCTGAGGAACAAGGCAATTTCCCATACAGATGCTGTTGCAAACATCACCTCATGGATAAGACTGAAAAAGAGGATAATAGGATGCAGAGAAAAAAAGAGCAGGTTCCATGTTCTCTTGTCTACTGCAGTCACCAAAACCAGACAGATTGCAAGATGCTCTCACCCAGTGCTGTTCCAGTAGTTCTGACCAACGTTGCAATCCTTGGACAGGGAGGATGGGCTGAACCAGAAGGCTGGGATGCACTGGTTGTTGCTGTGCCTCTCATATCCATAGTCACTGTGGAGACAAGTCATGAGTCCATCACTGTGCCCTCCACTAGAGTTAGCTCAGAGTTTTAGGTGATGTCCCCAAAGCAGGTGTGTATGGGTGGTTCTCTGCTGGGATGGCACAACATCATGGATTGGGCTCATCCAGAGACAAAGTGCTGGACTAGTCTGAGAGGCAGGAACACAATTCACTGAAGACATTTGATCCCAACAACAGCAGAACTACCAACCTCACAGAGCACTGGAGGACTTGTGCTTCATTTGGCAACAAAACGTGACAGAGATTCAGAAAGAATATTGTATTGTTCATTTATTTTCCTATTAATCTCTAACTTAAATTTCCCTTTCTGGGTTCTTTTGGTTTGTTTGCTTTTTGCAGTCTTTGCTTTTAGAATGAACCAGGCTAATTCTAAGATCTAATGTCACCTTTTCACAACAGTGGCTAGGAATATAAAACACTAGGAGCACTTCCTGAACAACTAGCCACAGTATGTATATTTATGTATGTTAAAGGGCTCCCTGACTGAGCTGTGATTTGCCTGAGAGAAAAAAAGCAGCTGATGTTTTTCCAACACTAAACAAAAACACAGCCAACTTCATAGTCTAAGGATTACATGGTATTGTGTCACATAGGGAAGGCAATCCAGGGTATTCATTTTTCCTTGGACCACCTAAGAGTGGAAGTGTACACTGCCACATCCAAAACTACTTTTTACAGCTGCCTTTGTGTGCCAATACAATGATGAAGCAATAGGATTAATCCAAAGCTTTCCATAAGTTTTAATAGGGTCTGGATCAGGTTTCTATGTGCAGTCTTTATTGACAGGCTGGATTCAAAGCACAAATAAAAAGAGATTCTGGATTTTTGCCTGCAGCAAGTTAACAAATGCCAACATGCTAAACCTCTGTGTGAAAACATAGACACTACAGAAGCCACTGTCTTGAAAGTATTCTGTGTCCTTTAGGACAATCTGAGTTTTATCCTTCCCCTGTTCAGAGCCTGAACTGCCAACAGAAAGTCTCTAGGAAGAGCTTTGGTGAGACAAAATTGTGCTATGTCCCCAATGACCCAGGCTGCTACTGTTCTTTTTTTGGAGGGCAAAAATTCTGTAAGCTACTTTAAATGGTTTGGAGATTCCCTAATGCTCTTTCTCTCAACATTCAATTTAATCATTCTCAGTGGGTCCGACCTGCACAGTCAAAAATGCCTGGCAGGGACTTTGTAATTAAAAATATTCAGGAGGATCTGTACTTTGCCCCAAAGAAGAAAAGAGCTCCATAAATATTTAATAAAATTAAAGACAACATTGCTGTGTGCCCTCAAGGTTCTGTGCTTGTTCATTAACTTCTGGTAAATGTATATTAAAACTTCACATGCTGCCCACCTTCTCTCTCATAAGCCCCAGGGTTTGCATAAGTTAAGGAAATAATCAAGTCCAGCTGCTGTGCTGTCTTTCTCAGGAAAGCTATCTTGACAGAGTAAATAAAGAAGCAGGAGGAGGGAAAAGAAAGCTCAGCAAGCACTTTAATATCACTTATGAGATCCCTCTGCCATTCTCTCTGTTAGAGAAAGGCCAGGATTTGCTTCTGGAAATATCTGCCAGGGCTGGCAGGAGTCACCCCTGATCTTGACTCATAAGGATTTGTTGAACTGGGGCATAATTGTGATTTATGCCCCTGAATTTTAGATCAGCCTCATACCTAAGTGCAGGGAGCAGCACTGCAACCATGAGGCAGACAGGGGCAAGGGCACTGTGACCAAATGGGAGGCAGCAGATCCCTCACAGCGTGTGCTGGAGGCTCCTGCACTTATTTGTCCTGTCCCCAAAGCTATCAAGGGCAGGTGTCATCACAGCAAGTGGCATGGGGTGTTCCAAGCCCAGAACCAGCTCCAAACCTTCCTTCTGAGGACACAGAGGGCCCAAGCTGCAGACCAGTCAGTGCTTTCAAGAACAACTGGCAACTGTGAGCCCAGATAGAGGAGGCTGAGTGGACCTTTTTCCTTGAAAAGGAAACATTTTGTCTTGAAAGAGCATCAAGTGAAAGTAGGAGCTGTCCTTTCACCTGTCCTGTCCTGTCACCTTTTAGTGAGCAAAGGCACTTGTCAGCATCTCCCCTCCTCACACTGACATCCCAAGGAAGGCAGATTAATCTAGAATATATTGTGGAACAACCTGTGTCTTGCCACTGACTAAGCAACTGTCTCATCCTCTAGAAGTCACAAATCAGAGCAGATGAGTCCACCCTTCCTTTCTGAAAAATCACTTTTAAAATAATCAGTGTCCCATTTCCAGCACTGCCAGTATCTTCTTCAAATGGAACTGTCTCTCACACATTATTCCAGTCAGCCCTGCTGAGTAGCATCAAAAGTCACCATAAAGTTTCTTCTGACTCTCCATCACCAGCTACAACAATTTTGCAACTGGAAGGCAGTTAACAATCCTGTTGGCAGTGCAGGGTCTGAAACAAAAGCCAGCTTGTTGTCCTCTAATTGCATTTCCTCCGCAGGACTGACAAGTTTAATGGAAAAATCCTCTCATATTAGGGGGAAAATTAAGCAAAAATGATACTGAATGCAGACAAGGAACCTGTCAAGGTACATTCTGAGACAGACCCTTTGCAAGGCAGCATTTAAGGTCAATTCAGCTACCACAGTTTTCCACATACTGCTTGGAAAAAAACCCAAAACTTCACCATGAAATATAAAGTGGGTGAGGTAAAGACAGTGTAAGGAAAAAAACCCAAACAAATTCACAAGCATCTCTGGAGACTCCCCCAGAGGCCTATGCAAGTGCCAAGGGTAGATACTGCAAGGTGAGATAGCTTGTCCTGAAAGTTCCCATCATGAGAACAAAGAGGAAAGATCTCATGAGTCAAGATATGGAGTCTCAGATGTAATCTTGACATTAGGAACAAATTAAACAGCCATCCAGATCAGATGAAAATCTCTGTTCTATATCCCTGACTCTCTCTTAAAGAAAAACTACTACAATATTAAATAAAATATTTTGGTCAATATTTTTTCTTAATTTTGCTGCATTTCACTATGTTCATGCTCTAAAAGAGTCTGTGAGTCTCAACTGTGAGCCTAAGTCCAAACAAATGTACAGATTTCATGCCTCACATCTCTTTAGAAAGTATTTGAAGGTAGGTGAAGTGTTCAGGAATAACATCAGTACTGACACTGATCCTGAATAACCTACTATAAAGATTAAGATGTTTTCTCAGCTGATCAGCTTTCAGGGTATTTTGAATTCCATTTAAATGACATTCTGATCATTTAAGCTCAAACATCACAGATTCTGACAGTCTTAAGTCTTAGAAATATTGCCTATCACAGGTGCCATGTAGGAATTCCTTTTGCAGAGATCCTGACATACATTCTCCCATCTCCAATATCCGATTGTCAAGCAATAGCAAGCAGTGTCTAATTTTTTTCCCTGCTTTATTTTTAAGCTGCTTTCAAAGTGACCTTAAAGCAATTTGAAAATTATGGTCCCATTAAATTAGAAACACCAATATTTATGCAAAACAAGTTGTTATATCTGACAAGGGTGGGCTGTACAGTCATGTCACAGAAGCACTTTCAGAAATTTTTCAATAAAATGCTGTTAAGAAGCAATAAACTGTTCCCAGCAATTCAGAGGAATAATGATAAAAATGTGCATGTTTTGCTGGCTTGCCCCCTAGGAAGTCAATGACCTTGGGAGTGAGGACAGAGGAATACCCTCCTTCTGAAAGGAATGTATTTTGGACCAGAGAAGTCCTAATTGTCACTATTCTGGAATGACAGACATAAAACATCCATCAATACTTGCAATTATTTTGCTTTTGAATTCCAGGCTTGGATTTCTCATGGAGGTGAACAAATATTTCCTGCAGATGAAAGGCAAGCCTCCTTCACTCAGCAGGTTTGGGGGCCACACTTCAGCTCTATGGTATGATCACAGCCATAAAGCTGCATGAGACCCAGCTCCTCTGCAAGGTTTTCTGTCTGGGTAGTGTTTCAGGACAAAACCACAGCCCTGCCCAAGCCCCCAGAGTCACATACTCACCACTCAAAGTCTCCTTGGCCACAGACACACGGCTCAGACACCACAGTTTGGGAATAGTCCCGACCTAGGGAACACTGGGCTCCAGGCCTGCGTTTTTTATAGATCTTCCTCTCTCCCATGACACAAGGCTCCCCCTTCATTGGCCAAGGAACAAGAGGAGAAACACACTTGTAGTGGCAGCTGGGTCTTAAATGGAGCACATTTTCAAAAGACACAAAAGGCAATGAAAACGAGCATTTATCACTGGGAGGGTGGGGAGTTAGAGCCTTGCTCTCTTTTGTGGCTTTGAGAAATCAAAAGTCTCTGTGGGAGGACTCATGAGCACAGTGTGCTCAGCACTGAGTTGGGATGCCAATGGCAATGTGCCTAAAATGCCTGGATGCCCAAGCCATCACACCCACTTATGTCACGTTTCAGAAGGCATCCACCAATGTCTAATCCTATGAATTATCCTGAAAACACAATGTGGGTGTAGGCCAGGGTTTCTTCCATATGTCAGATAAAATCTGCTGCAAAAGCAAGTGCCCAGGCCTGGGGACAAAATCCAGGTGTGGAACACAGAGCTCAACTCCTTTGCTCTTTCTGAGATAGAGTTGGCTTTGTTACAGACAATTGTGATGGTGTGTTTCACTGGGCTTTTTGAATGCAATGGTTTCCAAAAACACTACTGGGAGTAGCTAATCTAAAAGTAACATTTGATATCCAGGTGAGTTGCTATAAACAGAATTTTCTATTTTGCAGAAATAATTTGTCTGCACAGAAGAAAGAAGACAATAGCTAATTGAAATACTTCTCTTCCCTATTAACAGTGGTTCCCAAGATTGCTGCATGGTTACATGTCATACATTTTCTTTCATTTAAATTATTTTCATTTATTCAATTATATGACTTCAATTCCCTTATCTTTGCCAAATTAATGTTCATTTCTCATTCATGGATTTCATTCAGGAATGTCACACTGCCAATGGTTCTGGCTCTAGTTCTGTTACCCTGCAGGGTGTGGGACTTATACTGGTAGCCAGTAACTCATACGTAATCTGCAGAGGTTACTGACCTCTCAGTTATAGTTGCTTCAGGACCTAGATATTTCCAGCATGAAAATAAGACAGAGTATGAAAAGCAAAGCATGTATCCTTGAGTAGAATGAAATAATGTGGTTTTCTCTGGTGCTTTTTATTCAACAGCTTTTCAGATTCAAGGGTTTTACAGATATTCAAGAGTTTTACAGATACCTACAGGATCTACAGGATGAATAAATGTTTTTATTTTCATTTTTGAGTAGGGGAAGAGGCAAACTGAAACAAAATTATTTTCATGAGTCAGTGACAGAGCTACAAAGAATTCAGTGTCATCTACAATTCAATCATAAGGTATAGTTTTACATGGCCCTAAGCTTTGAGGCCAAAAAGACCCAGCTGGTGCAATGGATTATTTTCTTAAAAATAGAAGGTAATCTCCTGAACTTGCCCATAGATGCCCATGTTTATTCATGCATATTCTTCAAGGGATACAAAAAAAATGCATATCCTTTGCTGTAAAGAACAACTGCACTCCCACCTGGCAACACAGGGCAGGGGAAAAGGAAGCCACATCAACTCCCTCCTGGAGAGTGGGGATACCTGATTGTGCAGATGCCACGTCTGGTAGTCGTCCTTGGTACACCTGCGGCTGAAGAGAGACTTGTAATCCACCTTGACCAGCTGCCACTCAGAACGGAGACTGAAGTGCCCAAAAACTCTGAGTGTGGGAGACAAAAAGAGAAGAGCCAGGGTCAGCCAGACTCATACTTCCATTCAGCAAATAACATCTCATGAATCTCAGCTGCAGAAACCGATAACAGTCTTGGAAGCTTAATGCCAGCAAATGGTATTCAGTCATTAATAATAATTTCCTGTTCTTGCAAGATCCCAGGAGTGTTTAGCCTTTTCCTAACACCTCGTACACAGCTTGTGTTGGAAGGTCTTCCCTTCACCCCAGCATCCAGCAAAATGGAACCCAAGTCTAATCACATTTATTGCGATGTTTAGAGGACAGAGAATTTTATTTTTTCATTATTCCAAGTATTTCACTAATCTACATTTTTACCCAAGCCACTCATGAGATTAAAATTTTTGTTGTTCTAATTATTCTGGACTAACAAAGAAAGAAGGAGAAAGACAAGATTTACAAACTTTACTGTGAAATTAGAAGAGAAGCAGAAGATAAAACTTCCCCACACAGAGTGTAATTCAGATCCTGCTGTGTCCCCAGTGTGCTGCAATTATTTACGCTGGTTCATCTTGGTTTACAGTGTAATCACACAGAGTTGTTGGGTTTGCTCTCCCCTCAGTCCTTCTGCAGTCTGCACTGAAGCTGCTCTGCATTGTGCTGCTCTCCATGAAACAACAGCCACCCAGGAATCAATCATGCTCTCCCCTGCAGAGTGGTCTCAGCTCATGGGGATCAGGGAGGGAAGGGTGGGTGGGTGATATGTGAGAGTCTGGAGTGGTGGGTTTGCTGTGCACACCTGTATCCATCCAAGTTCTGCCTCACAGAGAAGCTCCACAAAGCAGACAAGCAGGAAGGATACAATACAAGGACCTGTGCCAAATTCTGTCATGAACAAGTGGCTCAGGTTAGAACCGAGCAAGTGGGGAAGGACTTGTCTGGTAGAATGGATTTATTAGGTAGATTGTTGTTGGCTGTCCAGAACCATTCTTAGAGTAGTCCCAAGTGTAGGGCATTAGTGAAACACCACAGCATTCGGGCCACGCTGCAGGAGAAGCTGCAATTCCTGTTCCTCAGCACAGAAGGCACACCCTGGACCAAGATAAACCCACAGAAACCAAGGCACTATAGGGTGCCAGAGCACTCACTGGGAGCAGGAGGGAGAAGGGAGGAATGGGAAGGAGAATGGTGGGGCGATGTAGAAAGCCGCCAAAACTATTTTCAATAGGAATTCTAACAACAGTTCCCCTCCCCACTTTCCCTTGGCACTGGGTACATCCCATCAGCCGTCACATTACAACTGTGTCATACACCTTCTTTGTGCTGCATGGCTGAAACATCTGTCCTTGCAAAGCAGCAATGCAGCAGGCAGAAATCACTAATCCTGCAGATTTATACCAGTACAGGATTTGGTGCTTATTACACAGGAAACACAGCAAAAGGAAGAGAGAACATGACCAAACAGAAACACTGGCATAAACACAGAAGACAACAGGGCTGGAGAAATCTAACACTTTGCAAATCAATGCATCTTAAAGGAAAATCTTGCTCCTCAGATTGTCCCTTAGCTAGCTGGCTTTCAGGAGAGCAAAAGGTTTCTTTGTGGTTTACAAAAATCACCAGAGTTACTTGATTTTTAAATCTATTTTAAAAAGCTTTTAAAAAATGCCTTCTGACATTGAAATTCTTCCATGATAATTAATTAAAAAAACCCAAGGTTTTCTAAGAGGAAGGCAACATATTAGCATTCCAAAAGCACAGAACATTAGATACTCTTTAATTAAATGATTTCAAAGAAGATCTTTGTGTATAATTGCTATAATTTAGATGGAAACAATACTACACTAAATGTAATTAGAGGAATGTGAACAGAGAGATGTTTTCCTCTGCGCTGCAGAGATGGTTCTAGGTCACCCGATTCCTAAAGCAGTGACTTCTCCACTCCACCATCTCCTTCCTAAAAAACTCCTTAAGGCTAATCAATGACTGTGGAAGAGACACTGATATAAGAGCAGCAGAGAAGACAACAAGCACCTGCACCCTGTGAGCACTGCTCACCAATGCCAAATGCCACCTACAGCATGACTTCATTGGCCCAGGTCATGAATGTCATGTGAGAGTTCAAAATGACTTTGTTGGGCATTTGAAACTTCTATCAGTTTCTGTAAGCAAATACAAGGATTGGAGGAGAGTGCTATGTGATCTCTGGGGCTCCAAGGTTCTGTCAAGCAGCTCTCCTTGGCAAGTGATTAAAACCTTCATTGTTTGTGAATGTAAAATGAGCTAAACAAACAATAACAGGGCACAAACCCTGACTGAACAAATCCAGGCACTGCAGCTGAGCTCCACTCTCAGTTTTATGAATGACATCACTGGATGTTTTTGCATACTGGCCAAGGTGCCTGCACATGACCTCTCCCCCCATACCTGTTTTGAGGTGGCCTGGTCCAATAGAGGGTTGGGCAGACAGCAAAGAGCTACAACATTTTAAAACTTACAGTGTCCAGCTGTCAGTAAGTTATTGGCACTAGATGCTCCAGTTCCTATATCAAGTGCAAGGAAACAAAAGTTCCAAGGAAAGAGATGGAAAAAGAGGTTGATGGAACCTTATTTTTCCCTACTTATCTGGTGAGTCCTCACATGGCTTTGAAGACAGTATCTCATTCAATTTACCTGATTCCCATGTGCCTTCGTTTCTCATTTACCTTGGTCACTAAATAAGGGAAGTGGATTTTTTTAATAAACATAGCTAAACTATCAAGCAAATACAGAGAGAAAGGAAATGAGGTAATGTAAATTCTAGACTCAATAACTTTGTCTATCATGGTCTAACTGAAAGCTTTTAATTGCTTGTTGCAAACATAGAAAACAAGAGAGCTGGGTTTTCAAGGTCCAGCTTTGAGAAGCCAACAGAGGAGGTATATTTTGATTTTTCCATATAAGCAGTCTGATCTGGAAGTCCTTGAGAAGCAATAAATACAAGAGTCCAGATGGTATTCAGATAGAGTCAGCCTTCTGACTAAGCTCAATTTAACAAAAGTTCTCCAACCTAAGACATAGAATGGTAATTTGCTGGCTTTAGACTGCATAGATTTCTATCCCTCTGAGTAAGCAGTTACAACTCCACACAAATTCTTACCTAATAGGACAGCACTTCTCAACTGGCTCTATGCATAGCTTACAGCAAAATCATTGCTAAGAAAATAGAAAATGCTTCCCAGTCCTTTCTTTGGAGAAACAAAGAAAGGCTTTTATTGCCAGGGCTGGATGTCATTAATTTGCAGAAAAACTATTAGAAACATGGAAATCAATTCTGAAATGCTTACAGTTTCATGATGGAGTCCTTTTAGAAATGATCATTGGTAATGCTGCTATAATTATATCTTTCATTAATTTTTTAAATACACAGTAACTTATAAATGCAGTGTACACTGCCTGGATAACCTTGTACAGGAGTTCTTTAAAAGGGTTTTTACATTTATACAGTGCTCTCTAGTCAAACTGCATTGCTTTTGCCTTATCATTCCTTGTATTGTTGATAATTGTGCTTTTTATGCAATTTAATACTGCTCATTCCTGCCAGGTCAACAGAATGAATTGAGGGCCACAAGATAACAACTCACCTGCCTCTGGTCCATAGATTCAATCCCTGTCCCTGGTCATGGTATGAGAAACAGTCCTCCTCAAGCAACAGCTCCCACAGGAAAGGCATGGGCTGTACCCTTGTGGATCTACCCCTGCTGGCAATTTCAGATGAGCTGCCCAGACATTTAAAGGTAAATTCTCATGCCTAAATCAAGTCCTATAATTTCTGAAGTGAACTGTTAGGACATCACATGGAGCAAGCAAGCACTGAAGCTGCCTGATCTTGGCTGCTCTGGATAAAGATGGAAGATTTTCCCTTCACCATAGCTCCCAGCTCCTTTGTGCCTAACTCCTGCTGACCTCAGATGTGCCCAGCACTGAGACAGAGGACTGGAGATGCCAAGAAAGGAAGAAGCTGATAAGGTAATCTTCACTGCACCTAACATCAAAAGTACCCTCCTTTCTGAAGCAGTTTTCCTTCACTGGACATCAACAGATGTGAGACATAAAAAGGTTGTGAGTTTTTTTTGCTTCTCTCAATGTACCTTGGGGACCTCTGAAGTCAGATTTTAACAAGATTAGGCTCCCCAGAATAGACTGAAACCATTTTTAATATCTAAAAATAAAATAAAGGCAAAATTATATAATAACACTTAGTAGACAGCATCTTTTGAGATGCACTACAGGCAGATGGATGGATCAACAGAAAAGTAAAGCCAGAACTATGGAAAGAGAGCCAAACATACACTTTAATTGATAATTCTGAGAGAAAGGCTAATTGCAGTGTCATCATAAATAGACTGTTTCATTTAGAAAAGCCTGAAACCAACCTTGATTTTTATTTCCTTTTATTGTAAAAGAAAAATGCTTGCAGAGGAAGTGTCTTAGCAAGCAAAAAATCCCCAATAGTACAATCACCCAAATTAGTGAATACTTCAGCTGACCTAAATCTGTGCTTTTGTCTTGAGAATGTAGAGAGGAAGAAAGTGAAGAAAGATCACCATCTGATTTCAGTTACAATCCCTCTTTATTTACATCTGTGCATCTAACAGGAAGTGCCAGAAGTAAATATTTAATGGGCAAACCCAAGAAGTGCTATGAAGCACAATCTGGAAGAATCACCTCCTGGCAGGAAAACAAGCATGTGTTGGTTTCTGGTTTGTTTTTTGTTGTTGTTGGGGTTTTTTTTGTTTGGTTGGTTTTTTTCTAGTCCCTGGAGAGGAAGTTCTCTCACTGAAAACAGAGGGAGTCCCAGATCTGGAGCAGTGGGTAATTCACCACGACTGAAGGTGCTCATTCTCTTTCTGATGTCCAGCAGAGAAGCACATGTTGCTATTGCTGTAATCTTAACAGATATTCTCTCATTCATGATTGCCTTGTTTGGGCTTTTTTTCCCCCCAACAAGCCAGGGTAACCTGGTCCCACATTTCCTGGGAAATGGTGTG